GAGGTGTGAGGGAGCAGGCAGGGTGAGCCCCGCCTCAAGAGTAGTGTTGTCTCACTCAACAAGACAAGACCCGCGGCACAAACGTTGTACAGTGTGACCTTGTGTGCCATGGCTCCAGTACCTAAGACAGAAGATAAGAGTGTAGATGTTAGAGAGAGTGTTGAGACAGAGACGGTGGCAGGATGCCACTCAGCCTCAGTGAACAAAGTGGAGGTCAAGTGTGAGGAGGTGGCGCCGCCAAAGGCGGAAGTGACTAATGGTGATAGTGAAGGCACCAACTCTACCTCCCATGACGCCACAGATGGCAATAAATCCCAGTCACAAACACAAAGCCGAAGTGAAGTTAAAGATGCCAGTACGAGGCAAGAGAGAGACAAGAGCGTGGAGAGAAAGGCAGAAAGTTTGGCGCAGTTTGTGGTGTTTAGTGTAGTAGGGAAGAGGAACACTAATACTGATGATAAAGTTGAGCAGACATTACTCAGGTGTGTCAGAATGATGATGCAAAGACACGAAATTCTCCTCAAAGGTATGATGAAAAGATTAGACATCACCAGAGAGACGGGATATGTGTCATTCGTTGCTGTTGCTAATGAACTCTTTGAGGGAGGCAAGATGGCCATAACTTGGGCCAGGATAGTGGCCCTTTACGCCTTTGGTGGACAGTTGGCACTCTATTGTAAAGAGAAAAATATGGAGGACTTTTGTGCTAAGATTGCTCTGTTTATGGGGCAATATGCTAGTGAAGTAGTGGCTCCCTTTGTGAGGAAATCTGGAGGCTGGGTGAGTAACTGCTATTTATGATTTATTCTTTCCCTTCTTTCAGAGGGACTTCCTTGATAACAGTGAGCGGCTCTTGATCCAAGAAACTGGTCTTATCCACCCCATCTATGCATCAGAGCTGATTGGCTCTCATTCCTCAGGTGCTAAATCATCTCTATGGATTTAGTGCTTCCCCCTGATTAAAATAAATTTGTGATGCTTCATAAGTAAGTTTATTTAGGCACAGGTACAAAAGTACAATTTTCATGTTGTAAATGACCTAGGATAACCCAAAAATGTCAGTGACTTATTTTCATTGGGGTCCTTCATGAGAGGTGCCTTGAGAGTGAATGTATCTTGATCCAAGGAGTTGGAGGTATCCTTTGTGTATAATAAAAATGAATTGCAGATACAGGAAACTTAGTGTACTGACTATTATATAAAAACTGTTGACAAAAATATATAATTATTTCTACAAGTACATGTACAAGGTATACAGGCCTATAGAAAGCTGCTTGTTATGCAGCATTTCAGGCAACTTGTCACTTTTGTCCCAGGATGTGACCCACACCAGTCAACTAACACCCAAGTACCTATTTTACCGGAGAACATGGACAACTTGTGTGAGGAAACACCCCCAATGTTTCTGTCCTCTCTGAGAATCAAACCTGGACCCTCACCGTGTGAAGTGAGAGCTTTAGCCACCAGGCCACAGAAAATGATGCTTGTGTACAGTTCAGGACATTTATTAAAAGTACTGATGAAGTCACAGATGTTGGTTTCCTTCAATAAATGTGAACTATACACAAGTTTCCTTTTCCACAGTTTGATGGTGTCACCATGCCATTTACAACCATTAGAAAGGAGGAGCATTACAGCAGGCCCATGCTAGGCAGGTCCAACTCTCACTCACTCGTGTACTTGTCTAACCTATTTTTATAGCAACCCAAGATTCTTACTTTGATGACATTGCTCAGAAGTTTGTTCCACATGTCCACAACTCTGTTACTAACCCAGCACTTTCCAATATCCTTTCTAAATCTAAGTTTTTCAAACTTGAAACCATTGCTGTGTGTCCTTTGTTAGATATTTCCAGCATTATTGCAAACACTTATGCACTGTTGTCATTGCTTTAGATTACTGCTAATCAGTACTCGAAAAAAAATTTCATTTAGTTTATAAAGTGCCAAGGTAAGAAGCTTAGCTAATGTACAACTGGTAATGTACAAATAAGTAGCTAATGTGCTATTACTCATCATTGAAACATTGTTCAGTAAATCATGAGAAATGAACACCTTCCCAAAAATGCTTAAATTAGCAAGGGTTGCCCCCAATGTACATGGAAACCCAACTGATGTAAATAACTGTAGGCCACTATTAAACTTGCCATTGTCATCTAAAATCTTCAAAATATTAATTCATAGGAGTATACTCCTTCCTATTCTCACAATATACTCAACCACTACCAGTTTGGTTTCAGGTCAAGCAAAAGTACAAATGATGAAATTATAAAAAGGGTAGGCTTTATACAGCTTTTGAGAATAGTAAATATCCACAGGGATTCTTCAGAGACCTTAGGAAAGCCTTCAGTACAGTAGACCACAACATCCTGCGTCTTAGTAATAATGGCAGAATTACTTAGTTTAATATGCCACTTGCAACTTTTTCTGACATGATTGACTGAGCCAGTTTGCATGTCTGATTTCTCAGCCAAATGCACATTTATGTAATAGATAATTGCAAGTAGTTTTCCAATAGGTTACTCTCTCTCTCCACTTTTCTGCTTAGTTTCCTTTCATGTCTGTATGGTTGTAATCATTATTACATCCCTTTTATAGTGCAATCAAAATTCCATTGTCATTGGCATGGAAATACTTTCACTTCATTTTGAACTGATGGTTTTCTGAATGATGGCATAAATGTTCTATTTCCTCGCATTGTCCTGCACATTTATTATTAACTTTCAGGTAATTGCAAAGTACCAGTTATGTGAATAAATTATACCCCTTGCCAAGATATGTTTTGTTAACAAAACCATCTTTCATCCAAATCTGTCCCTGTACCCCGGCCGTCCTTCAACTCCTATACAGATTGGTTACATATCTTATTCTACTTTATTTGTATTGTAACCTAAGTAACTTGGTGTATCCTCATCTGTCTAATCACTCTGCAGAACTGAAGATCATTGAAGTAGTTTAAATGTAATTCTTTTTGTAATTGACCACCTGTCATTGGTTAGCTTTCTTATTGTACTTATGAATGTAGTTTAACTGCATAAGAAGTCTTGGTTAATAGCCTATGTTTAGTTCTTAAGTAACTGAATTTGAATTTGAACTTACAAGCCATAAGATTAGATACCTGAGAAGCATTGCAAAATTAATGGCTTTCTTTTGTGCCTACCATTGTATTAATTCATGTAGATTACATTATTTGTACAGCATAAAGAAGTAAACACATTTTTATTATTTTTTATATTAATAGACCGTTAAATTTATGCACACAAAATTTAATAAGGACTATCCAGGCTCTTAGATGCACCAGACATTAAGTATTGAAGTCATTCGAAAGAGATAAGCTTTTGATTTATTTAATGGGTTTTAATGGGAATAAAAATTTCACACTATTTTACACACAATGGTCAAATTTGCATCTACAGACTTGACTTTCGCTTTCTTTCATCATTGAATTACGAGGCACCTTTTTTGAACATTTAAAGCTTTGTTGCTGAGGGTTTTGGAAGTTACTGGAGCCATTCCAGGCTGCTGGGATTGGGTTCATTAACCTTGGTCACAAGACACCTACCTACACAGACAAGTTTTCTGAGAATTTGGTCATTTTTACCATACACAAGCATTGAAAATTTGAAGCCGGTTAAAAAGGCATTCTTGAGTTTTGATAACTGGACTTGACCTGCCTATTAAATATGTAAATGATTTGATAGGGCAACAGAGAAGAGATAGAAGCTAAATTAAATTGATAAATTTTTCAAGATTTTAACCCTTTCAGGGTCCAAGGCCCAAATCTGGAGTCACGCACCAGTGTCCAAGATATTTCAAAAAAAAAAATTTTTTATTTTTTCTTATGAAATCGTAGAGAATCTTTTTGTGAAGGTAATAAAACAAAAAGTACGAAAATTGGTGGAAAATTGACGAAATTATGCTCTCGCGAATTTTGATGTGTCAGCGATATTTACGAATCGGCGATTTTGCCGACTTTCACTCCCATTTTAGGCCAATTACATTATTCCAATCAACCAAATTCTTAGCTATTTCACTAGTATTACTTCTATTCTATCGATTGAGCACAAGAAATCACCAAGTCAACTGTTTCAACTACAAAATAAAGTGATCGGAAATTGTTAATTTGGCCAATTTAACACAAAGTTCAAAATATTCCAATTTCAAAATAGGGTCCAGAATGAACAATGTAGGCATTCCTGGCACTAAACTAACATTTCCTCTGTTCATTAGTTATGTTTTGAGGCTTTACAAATAAATTCCATTTTGATTTTTATTCACATAATGAATTTTTATTCACACCAAAAAATAGAAGATTTACTGTTATGCAATACTGTAATAATTGTATAAATATCATCACCATATTTGTGAATGTATATTAGACCCACCAGCTGATGTGTATTAGACGTGTGAGGTCGTTTGTTTACTCTTGAATATCGGCAAAAATTTAACATTTCCGCTACTTTGAGCTCAGTTTCAAGCCATTTCCAATGCTAAAACCAATCAAAATCATCTCTATTTCTGTAATATGTCTTCCATTCTATCAAATGAGACCAAGAAATCGCAAATACAACTATAAAAAACATACGAAAAAACACTGCAAAGTTGTTGTTTTAATCGAAAAATCATGATTTCATTTTTTTTCTCTCATTATGCACAGTGTGCTGCAGGATCTGTTTTATGTGGTGCACACATACCACATAGATGTATTCTCTCATATCTAGGCCCAAATGTAAAACTCACAGTTTATCAGAGTGAGCTGAGCTCATGGCGTAGATCTACGGTTTGGACCCTGAACGTAAAGCCGTAGATCTACGGGACGGACCCTGAAAGGGTTAAATGTACATTAATTAAATACTGTATAGAAGAATATTTTTAAAATAGACCAGAGGCAGAAGATATAATCCACCCATGAACTGTTCTAAATAAGGTAACATTCAGGAAAAAAAAAAAAAAGAATGCTTAGTTGTATAATCATTAATAATAATATTTTTTTATTTGCAGATAAAAATATGTGAAGAATTTCCAGTTGAAGAGGACTTGGAAAGCAAGGCCTGGAGATACCTCACCTGGACAGCTATTGGATTAGGGTTGGCAGCTACTGCATCATTTTTCACTTCTCATTGATTGATATTAGTCTTTCACATAAAGCTGTCTCCTGGATTCACTGGAATATATGAATCAGGGAATGGTTTATCATATGGTATGTTTGTGGCCACTTGCACTAACCTATTACCATAGTGCATAGCACATTTTTCTCTCTCTGTTTCTTTAGTTATATTTCCAAGCACTGTATGACCCCTGTGGGTTTAATACGTATAATACAGTAATAATCTTACATTTTGAATAGATTGGCTGTTATTGTTTGAAACTGGTGGTACTTGTAAACACTGAAATAATTTCTTGAATAATTATCAAAAAATTAACCTATGGGTATAAGAAAGGGGTAGCTTTGGATAGTTATAGTGTGATGTACAGTACTGTGCATTAGATGACATATTAAAGGTATTTCACAGTTTAATTTTATATAAAAAAATATTCAATTTTATTCTATGGTTAAAATATGTTTTCAATAGCTACTTTTTTCCAGTTTTTATTGTACAAGATAGCTACTAATGAGCAGTGAAACCTCAATGATCAGACAAATTAAGCGTTTTTCCATGATAATAATAGTAATGGAGAATTCTGGATTTAATGGGCTCAGTCTGTTAAATTCGAAAAGGTTTACCCAGCAGGCTCTAAGAATAATGAACAATTCTGGATTTAGCAGATCCGTCTGTTCCCAAATGTTCTCTCGCCACAGGTTTTCTCCATTAAATCTGAAATCCATAAACTCGAGGTATGATAAATCAAAGTTTTACTATACCTGGAGTTTACCTGGAGAGAGTTTCGGGGGTCAACGCCCCCGCGGCCCGGTCTGTGACCAGGCCTCCTGGTGGATCAGCGCCTGATCAACCAGGCTGTTGCTGCTGGCTGCACGCAAACCAACGTACGAGCCACAGCCCGGCTGATCAGGAACTGACTTTAGGTGCTTGTCCAGTGCCAGCTTGAAGACTGCCAGGGGTCTGTTGGTAATCCACTGTACTTATAAAATTACTATATTTCTTGGTGTATTCTGCAAACTTTTTTTTTTTTTTTTTTTTTTTTATAAATGTGCTTTTAAATTCTCTGCACATCAGTGTATTTTTGTCCAGACATGAGACTAAGAATCAAGGTTGAGCTTGAAGGCTTGTTACAGTGGGTTTAACAAAAATTTGTGTTATTCAGTATTTGTCACCATAGGTTCATAGACAGCAACCATCTAGGAAGGTACTGCCATCCTGAAAAAGGAGTATGAAATGGAAACCTGTCATTTTTTGTACTCTGGACAAGTTCGTTGATCTTGACTTCGTCTCATGAACCTGTAGGATAACAGGTGAATCTTATAAGTTTCTGCTTGTGTGTATTCAGATTAGACATATTTTTACTGTTCTGTGTGTTTCTTAATAGTTCCTAATCTTGTAATATTTTCTTTTTAACCTAGGAGGCCTAGTCTGAGACTGGGCCATGGGAAAGATAATCCCCAGAACCACTAACAGGTAGCATATGCCAAAGTATATAGTATAGCACCCATACCGATGTACAGTGGAACCTTGGTACTCTAACTTAATTCATTCCAGAAGGCTGTTTGAGTGCCGATCTGTTCGAGTACCAAACGAAATTTTCCCAACCAATTTTCCTTTTGGTTGGCTGTTATCACTAATCATCTTAGGCCCCATGGTGACTTATTTATACATATATAAAAGAACACCAAAAATGAGAGGAAACACAAAGTAGTTTACAGCGAAGTTCTGGGAGGTTGTGTTTGTTTAGTTGAGTGCTGAGCAAACGGTTGACTACTGAGCTATTTTTTTACTGAACAAAGCATTCGCATACCGAATTGTTCGAGTAGGGAGCTGTTCAAGTACCGAGGTTCCACTGTACTATTGTGTATAACCTATAATATTTCTCTCAGATACAAATAGCAGTCACATGGGAATGAACCTGCTATCACTTAGAACATCAAGAGAACACTGAAGCTACCAGTTAAACCATATTGAAACTTGTAACTTTTGACACTTGACAAATTACTCTTGGCCCCTTTTGGTTTGGTTCTTCCCCTTGAATATAATAATTTTCGTGTAGCGGTTAGTTTACTTGGTATAGTACTTGATCGAGTTGCATAAATTGTGATATTTAATGTAAAAATGTTAAAACTTGCAAATATTGATGTTACCAAAACACAGGCCATGAAATAGACAGTCACGTCGTATTTTATTGAAACTGAGGTTTTCAAATTAGTCATACCCTGCCATATGTCAGTAATTGGTTCCAAGAGCTGTGGTGTAACCCAGTTTTTTATTTAAACCAGACATAATGCCTTAAAAATGTCGACAAACACTGTAAAATTAGCGTAAGTAACTTGCAAAAGAATATAACTATTGCTAAGCCTTAAAAAAACACTAACAACCCATTTTAGTCATATTTTTAAATTAACAATGAACACAGTTAAAAAATTATGACATAGGTGATGTTGCTGAGTGATGTAAAGTTGGATGTAATGATGTTCACTGAACTGAAATTTACTCTAGAAGGGCAGCATAAAGGCAAATTTGACGTAAGCCAAAATGACGTAAAGCTGGGTGTGACTATATATCTGTCAATCTTATTATTCCAGATTAGCGATAACTACAGTTATCTCTCCAAATCATATATATGTATAATATTGCATTATAGATTAAATGTTAGATCAGATATAGATTGCACTGCAAACAAATTTACAGTATCTGGTCAGTTATCATGGATTATCTGTGCTAAATACAGTGGAACCTTGACTTACGAGTGCCCCAACATACAAGTTTTTTGAGATTTGAGCCGTCAATCGGTCGATTTTTTGCTCTGAGTTACGAGCCAACATTTGAGTTACGAGCCAGCTCCCCCCCCACTTCCCCCTCAACCCAAAACCTCTTTTGTTTATCTATGATTTCATGCTTTAATTCCATGGAAATCATTCTCTTTTTCTTACCAGCGCTGTCCTTTACAATTACTTTCTTAGGACCCATGGTTAGAAAAGCAAAATCTGGCCAAGTGGCTGTCAAAAATGTAAGCAAATCAGGAGAAAACTGCTCCCACTGTGAGGTAAACAGTGCACTGAGTTGACTTCGTTTTGAAGCTCTCGTTGTTATAATAATGTATTATTATTATTATTAATTTAGGGAACAGGCTCTATTGTTATTGTAATAATAATTATTATAACTATTATTATTGATAATTTAGGGAACTGAAGCCCCTCACCAGCATCAAGGTTCCTTGATGCTGGTGAGGGGCTCTTGATCTAGGGAATTGGATATGTGCTCTAGTTCCCTAAATTAATAATAATAAAAATGGATATCATCATCTTTTTCTTCTCAGCACTGTCCTTTACACTTACTTTCTTAGGACCCATGGTTAGAAAAGTGAAATTTGGCCAAATGACTGTCAAAAATGTAAGCAAATCAGGAGAGAACTGCTCCCACAGCTAGGTAAACAGTGCACTGAGTTGACTTCGTTATGAAGCTCTCGTTGTTATAATAATGTATTATTATTAATTTAGGGAACTGAAGCTCTGTTGTTATTGTAATAATTATTATAATTATTATTATTGATAATTTAGGGAACTGAAGCTCTATCATTATAATTATTTTTATTATTATTATTATTATTATTATTATTATTATTATTATTAATATTATTAATAATTTAGAGAACTTGAGCACATTGCCAGTTCCCTACATTAAGAGCCCCTTACAGCATCAAGGTTCCTTGACACTGGTGAGGGTCTCTTGATCTAGGGAATTGGATATATGCTCTTGTTCCCTAAATTAATAATAATAATAACAGAACTTCAGTTCTTTAAATTATCAATAATAATAATTAATAATTATTATTGCAATGATGATAGAGCTTGTTCCCTAAATTAATAGTAATAATAACAATAATTATTATAACAATAGAGCTTCAGTTCCCTAAATTATCAATAATAATAATTATTATTGTTATTTTACAATAATGATAGAGCTTCAGTTCCCCAAATTAATAATAATAATGTACATAATGCATACGTAATAATAATTCAGAATCCTGCCGCTAGTTGGCGCAGCTGATGTTTACATCGCTGTCGAAGCAGTTCTCTCCTGATTTGCTTACAATTTTGAGTCATTTTGCTTTTCTAACCATGGGTCCTAAGAAAATAAGTGTAAAGGACAGTGCTGAGAAGAAAAAGATGATGATTTCCCTGGAATTAATGCATGAAATCATAGATAAACATATGTAAGGTGCATGAGTTGTGGATTTAGCCAGACAATACCAGCACAGTACATCTACTATATGTACCCCTCAAGGAAGGTTCCTTGATGTTGGTGAGAGGCTCTTGATTTAGGGAATTGGGTCTGTGCTCCAGTACCCCGAATTAAGCCTGAATGCCTTCCACATCATCCCCCCCAGGCGCTGTATAATCCTCCGGGTTTAGCACTTCCCCCTTGATTATAATAATAATAATTTACTATATGTACAATACTAAAGCAGCAGGATTTGTTAAAGGCTATATATAGTGCCAGCCAAGGGCGTTACAATAACAACTAAGCTGCGGACCTCTGTCCGTGAAAAGATGGAGAAGTTGCTGCTGACGTGGCTGAGAGAGAAGCAGCTCGCAGGAGATACCGTATCAGTTATGTTCAGTGATTAAACAAAACAAATTGTATCAGTTATGTTCAGTGTGTAAGTACATATACACTTTATATAAACAGTATTATTTCTTTACATTCTGTAGTATATTATGATTTATTATGTGTTTATATACGATATTTTCAGTGTTTTCCTTAGAAAAATAGTGATCTATTGCAGTTAGCCTCAAAAATACTCTGTTTTCTCTTACAATAAGAGCACGGGAAGATACTCTCAGTACATACTCACAGGAAATGGCGGACACATTCGCTGCTGCCTCTGCCACTGTATTATGGCCTATTTTATTAATTCTAGAGTATATATCATGTTTCTGTGTTAATTATATTGTTTATTATGTCATATTAGATGAATTGTGATAGACAAATAAGCCGTATAGTTGATGAT